GTATGCAGTTTGCATTTAATAAACTAGTGAGTGCATTTTTAATATGCCAGACATACATTGGCAGTGATTTTATTTTTAAAAACTGATTATAAGGGTGGATCTCAAGGGTAGGGAGCTTCTCTAGTATGGGCAACCCCTGGGGTCGATCCCCAGCACTAACTGGAAAATAAAAACTGATTATAAAAAAGCCAAATTAAAAAAATTAAAACAAAAAAAAGCCACAATACCTATCATCTAGCTAAATATTAAAGCAGAAGAAAAAATGACATACTCCTTCAGAAGAAAAATATTGCCAATGATTACCCTATATTGCTGCCCAAAAGCACCTGAATAATTAGGGTATTTTCCTTAGTTCTTCTTTTATTTATCTATTTTTTCAGTACTGGGGTTTGAACTCAGGACTTCTCACTTGCCAGGCAGGCGCTCTTACCACTTGAGCCACTCCACCAGCCTGTTTGGTGTTGGTTATTTTCAAGATAGGGTCTCTTGAACTATTTGCTGTGGCTGGCTTTGAACCTCAATCCTCCTGATGTCTGCCTCTTGAGTAGATAGGATTACAGGCATGAACCAGCATCTGACTCCCTCCGTTCCTCTTGCAAAAGCTCTGCTGTCCCCCAAACCAACCTCAGACTGCACTCCCCTTCTGAACAACCAACCTGTGGCTGGAGCTGCTGGAGGACCACAGCGTTGCTCATGGCACACTTGCTAAGAGATGAATGTTTGGTGAGTACCAGGTTGCCAAGTCTCTTTTCCTGGGCATCGTGGGTTGACAACATTTATTTATAACCAGAAGGATATAACCACCAGCCTGGAGAGGTGAAGTTTCCAACACTGCTGTTCACTCTCCTGCTTTCTGTTAGCACGACAGGGGCAGTGCAGGAGCCCAGATACCTGGGAAGCTACTTAACTGCAAGACAGACTGCCACTGGTCGGGAGGTTCATAGGTAGGTAGTAGGTACATGAGAGGCATTCTTTAATTTAGACCTAAAGTGAACCCTATTCTCCCACATGGGGTTTTGTAAATTTGTTTTTGGGAGGAACAAGGTTGAAAAAGATCTGCATGAAACTTGAAACATAATTCCAAAATAGTGAGATTTCCTAATTGAAGTTCCAAAATGACACACATTCTAATCCCAGTGTTTACTCTGTGCTTCTAATTCAGGCTTTATAAATAAGAAATAAAACAAAATTAGGCACAGTGAGTGAAAAATAGGAAATACCCTGAACACTGTGGGCTAAAGATTGTGTTTAGAGCGATTGAAGCAGTAAACTAGAGTTCTCTTGTATGAAATTTTCTTTCTAAATAAGAGTCGGAGCTGGGTTGGGGGTATGGGGAAAGAGGAGGTAGCTCAGTGGTAGAGCCTCGGTTCAATGCCCAGCACTACAAAATAAATAAATAAGCCAATAAACAAATAAAATAAAATAGAGCCATCACTCTTAACACACAATGGTGAACAGTAAATTATAAAATTATTTGTCCCTAAGTATTATACATTCTTTTTTGTTTTTGCAGTACTAGGGTTTGAACTTAGCCTCATGCTTGTGAAGCAGGTGCTCCACCATTTGAGCTACTCTGCCAGTCCCAGTATTTTACAATTTAAGCTGCATTTATTCACGTCATGGAATTTGTAAGCTGAAAATTGTCATGGCTTGAGTTATCAGCTTGTATTGCTGTGATTCAAAACCCTTTGGCATGTTCTCAACAATTATCAGAAAGATGTTTAAGCACCCAGTTGCTTAAGAGTCTTTTGTGGTAGTTTCTGCCCTCTAGTTGCCTACAAATATCTGTGTTCTTCGTGTGTGTATATAAAACAATGCTTTTCAGAGTATCATTTAAAAAAATACGTTAACATCCAAGTGTAAGTCCTTTACAATTTTGCATTTTGGCCACTCTGAATGCAGTGGGTTGACTGTGGGTTATGGTGCCTGTGATCTATTGCCACCTAGTGTTAGGTTGCAAGCTGAGACCCTAGGAACGGAAATCTTGTTGGGCCTCCTTTTCTGATGCCTGCCAGAGAGCCCTGTTTCTGATCCCACTTCAGAAGTCACCAGGTGTCATCCACGCAAAGCTTTTGTCTTTCCTTTCCATTGCCAAGAACAATCTAGCATTCATGCTCATTATGTTGAATGGAGGCCATTTTAATTCGCTCACCTTCGTGGACAAGTTATCCAAGCTAGTGTGGCTTCAATTTCCCCATCTTTTAGATGGAAATAGTAACATCTACTTCAGAGCTGTTCTGATTAAACAGTAAGTTAAGGTACTTAAAATGCTGACATCAGTATCTGAAACATGCAAACTTTTTTATTTTTTGGAACTAGTATTTGAACTCAGGGTCTCATGTTTGCCAGGCAGGCACTCTCTACCACTTGAGCCACTCCACCAGTCCTTTTGGTGTTGGGTATTTTTGAGATAGGGTGTAGCTTTTGTTGCCTAGCAGATTCTCCTGATCTCTGCTTCCCAAGAAGCTAGGATTACAGGCATAAGCCACTGACACCCAGGTGAAACATGCAAATATTTAATAGTGTAAATTACTATCACATACCTACCTCTTTAAATGGGAACTCAAGAGCTGAAAGTAGTCTATTAATTTTGTTTTTCTTTTTGATACTGGGTCTTACTATGTAGCCCAGGCTGGCCAGAGACTTGCAGTCCTCCTGCCCCACCTCCCAAATGCTGGGATTAAAAAAATATGTCACCTTGCTTGGCTTATTTTTATTTTGTGGCCAGAAGGCGGTTGGATTCCCCTATGACACCTCAGGATGATTGTTTCAAAAGGTCTATTCTGGATAAAAACTCCTTTGCAAATATTCTCACCCCACGTGCAGTTTGTCTTTTCATTCTCTTAACATTGCCTTTCAACAGTTTCGTTGTGGAGTTGGAGATTGAACCCAGGACCTTGTGCATGCTAAGTGGAAGTGCTCTTCCACTCGGTACATCCCCAGCCCTCATCATATTTTAAGTTCAATTTATTAATTTTCTCTCTCATGGATCATGTTTTTGGTATCATGTCTTAACATCTCTTTGCCTAACCACAGGTCATGAAGATTTTTCTTCTATTATTTCTTTGTTTTTTGTTTTACACTTAGGTAAATGCCAATGTTGTTCGTATTTTGAGTTAATTTTTTGTGGGTGTGAAGGTTGTGTGATGTTGATCTGTAGTAAGATTTTATGGACTTCATCTTGAAAATGTCTTTTCACACAGGCACAGGTATTGCTGATACCAATCCCAAAACATGACTTCAGTAGAGTATATTCCTTACTTGGAAGGCGTCTCTAGGATTCTATTACCTTCTTGTCTTGATGTTTTGTGGCATGTCATTACATTGCAGTTAGTCACCTTTGGTTGAAAGACAGATGGAAGCTTTGAGATCTGTTAAATGGATTTTGAAATGTGGAAATTTTCTTTGTGCTTGACTTGAGGTCTGGCAACTGCTGAAACTATAGTTGGAGGTGGAGCACCATTATCGGCTACAAATTGTTTCCTCTTTTGACAGCATAGCAAGTATTTAAAGCAGTTAACATTGGTTCAAATGTTAGTCATCAGAAATGAGTTGACAGCCACACAACTGTGATACTAAATTGAATTCACTGACTTAAGTTCATTAAGAAGCATGAAATCTGTAGCAAAAGCCAATTTCTGAAGACATTCAGTGTTTGAAGATGACAGAGAAAGGTTCTTCTCACTCAGAAAGTTTTAATTTTGTTCCTGAACTCAGAAAGTCTCAGTAAAACTTTATCACCACTAAGTCATTGGACAGTCACAGGCTAAGCCAAGTCAGGGTACTACTCAGCCTCTGCTTCTGCCAAAAATTCATAAAGGTGATGGTCAAGTCCAAGAGCACAAATGAAACACAAGATGACACTGGCTCGATAAAACCGTAGGTTCAGGTATTTTTGAAAACCACCTGCTGGTGATTAACGCGATGAACAGCAGTCTTCAAATGCCCTGTATTTTCACAAACTTATTTGTCCAGTGAAGTCATTTTCTGCGTTGCACACTTCTCACATCTTCACAGATTCCACTTCAGTTAGATTAGCTTTCTTCTCAGTCCTCAAGATACTTTTGCTGATAGTTGCTCCACCGACGAATGAGAGTCATCAGCCGTCTCTAGAGCAACGGACTGTTTAGATCTTCCTGGGGCTTAAATTCTCAGAATGTTAGGTTTCCTGTGTTAAAACCAGAAAGGGTCTAGGCAACCTGGACAGTTGGTTCACCCCATCACTTCAGGTTTGGCATTGACTTCTCAGTAGACAACTGAGCGGTAGGTGGCAAACCCTGTTAAACGTATTAGGTGCCAAGGAAAAACACTCCAAATCATCTGCCTTGTTTTTTTGATGGGACTGGATTTTGAACTCAGGGCTTTGCACTTGCAAAGCAGGTACTCTACCATCTGAGCCACACCTCCAGTCCATTTTGCTCTGGTTATTTTGGAGATGGGGGTCTCGTGAGGCTATTACTGAGGCTGGCCTCACACTGTGATCCTCCACATCTCAGTCTCCCAAGTAACTAGGTAAGCCACTGGCACCCAGCGTTTGCCTTATTTTAAATTGCCTATTAATGTTGCATCCTTAACTTCTTCAAGCATTTAGTCTCAATGAAAAGCTAATGGTGTTTTAAAAAGGATTTTTTACCAACACATTTCTTTGGTTGATATAATCAAACCCAGTTATTTTGCCATTAAATGGTTTTCCTTGCTTAGCTAACAAATAAGCCCACTTGGAAACTTGTTACAGCTTCATTTTCACTTTTGTTGAGACTGAGTAGGTTTTTTTTGAGATTGGGTAGTTACTTCATTAAATTTTTTTTTTTTTACATTCCCACGAGAGGTGCACTGTTCTTGGAGGTTCTTTGATACCAGGTCACTGCAGAGTGGATGGAGCAAGCTCCTATTCCATCTCCCTGCTCCAAAAATCTATTTAATATATGGTCCTTGGATACAGGACATATCAGATCTTAAACTTTTAAGGACAGACTCTACACTTGATCTTAGCCAAAAGACCAAGAAGCAAGTTACTCCATTTTTAAATAGCTGTACCTTCTGTGCTTTCCTGTGGGTTGGGAATACCATGATGAATGCTTAGACTGCTGTTAACACATTTTATTTTTCTACTACAACCAGTAGTAAAATGCCTTACCATCTTAATTTGATAGTTCATAAAATTTGTGGTATCACCATACACGTGGCAAAGTGTATCGAGTTAAAACTCCATCACCCCATTGCAGTATGCAGTTCATGCAGCAGCAATGCTAAGCAGGTGTCACAACCGGCTTTTACAGCACAACAGCCAGACAGGACATAGGTAAATGTGCGGCTGTGTTCTAATAAATGTGTATTTATGGACACACTGAAATTTGAAGCCCATCATTTCCACGTGTCATGAAATATTTCTTTTCCAACCATTAAAAAAATGTTGACCAAAGGGCTGGGAGTGCTCAGTGCCTAGCACACACAAGTTCAATCCTCACCACCACACACCCATGAAGATTGGCCGTTGGCTGGACTTGGTCCCAGGATGATCCATGATATAGATTTGGGCCATGTGTTTATATGTGCCTACACAGTAGAAAAGACTACATTCCTAGGCCAAGGAAAACAGTTACGGTTTGTAAGTCACATAGACAGTTGCCTGAGTCAAGCCTTTACAAGTAATAGCCAGACCTACAATTTTGTTAGTGAGCTTGCACACGTGGCTACACTATACTCCCAAGTAATGCTAGCACCAAAAACCCAATCTTGAAGTTGTTTATTCACTTGCCCTTCAGATTTTTGTGGCACTCATCAAATAATGTGCCACTCCATTTTGTGGCCAACTTGCAGCTTGTGAAATATCTGGCTTCAAATGGACCTTGTCTGCGATTAATTCCTTTTCTTTTACAAAGCTTTTTTTCTGATGTTGTATCAGCATGTGTGCACACACATACATACTGAATTTTAAAAATCGGGAAACTGCTTTTCATAGCTGTGATCAGACTGTGCGATTTTGAGCTGCATTTTTTTTTCACCTGACTATGACGGTATTACTTACTGCAGCCCTTTCTTAAGTATCTTATTGGCAAGGGCCTTCTACTCCAAGTGCCAGCCTTACCCTATAAATCCTAAAAATCAAGCCCATGCCACTTCAATGGTTTTCTTAAGAACCCAATCTAGTCCTCTAAAAAATAGGTTTGCAATCACATAAGCTGTTTCTAATGAAAAATATCCCTGACTGTGACATGCTAAGAGTGCAATCACCACCTCTCTGCTCCAGGGTAATTGCAAAACTCACACACAGGAAGTGCTGTGAACGGCACCATGCCTGTGTGGTGGGGTGTGTTGGTGACAGACTGGTAAGGGGAAATGTTCATCTTGTCATGTATGCACATGCCTCCTGGGGGTGACAAACATGACAGACCTATGTCCATTTGGAGCCATCTATCTGATTCTTTCTCAGAGGGGAAAGGAGAGAGATATCCAGATGCACAAGTTCAGACACTGTCAGAAAGAGGGGCAGTTGTTACCCACACATTCATCAGTCAACGCAAACTCAATACCTTCTGTGCGTCTCCAACTATTGTGGGGTACAAGTTGCTCTTTGTATATACTTAACCCAATTCTGCTTTACACTTTTCATCAGGATACCTAGGTTAGTATGTATTTAACAAATATTGGATGAAAAGAAATGCCTGACAGCATTGGGTATATTTTAATGAATCTGGATAATTTAATACAAAAGCACATTTCAAGCACCAGAAAACTTAAAAAGCAGGTGAGAAGAAACTTGCTACTTTTCCTCAAAGCTCTTATATCATACTTGCATACAAATTATGGAACAAGTTTACTACAATTCCAAATTGATGACTCAAAATGGCAGTGATCAAATCCATGCTAGTCCACCAACAATTTCTTTAACATTATTGGTGAAAACATGTCATTTCTGAATCTGTCTCAACATTTGAACTGCCATCCTATTCTCCGTAATTTAACTTCCAGTTTAAGCCACCTCATGTTGAAGTCTAAAATACCCTTTTTGGTTAAGTATGCACAATCATGATGAAGATGGTCAGGACTGGTGTTATTTGGTGGTGACAAAAAGGTTTAGTTGGTACATACACCTGCAGCTAACAGTGACCATTCTATAAAGCAGGCAAATTAAGAGGAGCTATAAAATTTGATAAGAAAACTACAGGAGATCAGGACAAAGGCAAAGTGAACCCCACCATTTGCAGGCTGGTATGCATAGCCAAAATTACTGCTTTCCTTACTGACATGAACAAACAGTATGTTTTTCCTTGAAAAGTCTTATCATTGGTTGCATTTTACTGTACATCTAGAAGAGTCAGTCCTTATAACAAAATCATCAGATTTTTTCAGAAGATAGTTACTGATTGCTTTTTCTTTTTCTTTTTTTCCTTGAGCGTGTAGGGGTTGTTGGAGTCTCTTCTATTTCTTCTTTTACACTGGATGTGGGCTGTTTGAAAACTATTTCATCATCTTTATCATCCAGTTCAGCCACTTCGGACTTTCGTCTCTCCAAAAATGTTGGTGTACAAACTGGTGTGGGGCCCTGGAACCAACAAGTAGAAGATTATAGTACATAAATGTGGAATGGTATCAGGAATGACTTTATCCTAAAACATTACCTCTTTTCTATTTTTTTTTTTGTAAGTTTTATGTTATGTTAGGCCTGCTTTTATCTTCTGGTGAATCAACTGAAGATAATAAAGAGCTTAGTTAATTATCAAACTTAACATGGAAATTAATTAACTAGAATATGTTCAATTATAAGGTGTAAGTATAAAATCACTAAATCACTGTTGGGTGCCAGTAGCTCATGCCTGTGGATCATAGTTTGAGGCCAGCCAGCGCAAAAAGTGGGATCCTAGCTCAAAAATATCCAATGCACACACACAGAAGGACTGCTGGAGGTGGCTCCAGTGGTAGAGCACCTGCCTAGCAAGTGTGAGACCCTGAGTTCAAACCCCAGTATTACAAAACAAAAACAAAACACCCCAGCTGAATCACCAGTTAAGGACCTACCAATGTCACAAGATTAAGTTATTTCTATAATACTTGGTGACCAGAACACAAGATACTCTTACCTGGCTGTCCGCAGACTTCTCAGGAGTGTTAGGATTGCTTTTTGAAACCCTTCTGTACTTCTTAGGTATGCCTGAAACGCCTTCCTTATTAGGTAAAACCTTGAAATAAATTTTAAGACTTTAGCGATTTGCATATTTATCAGCATTTTCATTTATTAGTCTTGAATATTTTCCTATTTCTTCTTCTATTGCCTGGCATGTAAAACAAAGAAATACGATTTCACTTATTTGTAGAGTTCTGAATTTCAGTGTTGAAACATTTTTCCCTTTAAAAAAACATTTTTTTGGTAAAATCTCAAAGAAGCTATAAAGGCAACTTAAGTTCAGAATTGCAGCAAGAAGACTGGGACTCTTACTTGCAAATGATTAACCACCAAGAAATGGGTCTAAGATCACTCAGTCTTCTAGATTTTGAGTAAGATCTAATAAACTTGGGAGTGGAAGTCTTTTTTTTTTTTTTTGTGGTACTGGGGCTTGAACTCAGGGCCTACAACTTGAGCCACTCCACCAGCCCTTTCTTGCGATGGGTTTTTTTGAGATAGGGTATCTGGAACTACTTGTCCAGGCTGGCTGTGAACCAGGATCCTCTTGATCTCTGTCTCCTAAGTTAGGATTACAGGTTTGAGCCACTGGTACCAGACTGAGATGTAATCTTTACCAATTAACTTTTGGGAAATAAGCTGACAAGTTCTAGGGAAGATTAAACATGCTCAAGGGCTGGAGGTGTGACTCAAAGTTCAAATTCCATTACCCCCTTTCTCCCCAGAGCCCAAGACTTAATAAGAAATAAGATAACTTCACCAAGAGAGAAAAAAACAAAACAAAACAAAACAAAAAAAAGATATCTTAACCAATACTAGTCACACCCCAATGACTCATGCTCTTGTTTTATAGTAAAAGATGTAACTCTCCTTACTGTGACAGGAGGAAAAGATTCAGCAAGGCCCCCATATTATTATTTTCAAACAAGCAAAAAAGTTAGAACAGGATAAACACCTGTGCTAACTTATCTTCATGTATGTTGATGCTTTATTTCACCTCTCCACATTTAAATCACAGAATTGAGGGCTGGCAATGTTTGAATGCCTGCCTACCAAAAACAAAACAAAAACCTACAGAATTATGTTTACTGTCCAGCTTCTCATATTTAAAAGAACACGAAGGGCCAGACAGACATGGTAGCTGATGCCAGTAATCCCAGTTACTTGGGAGATGGAGATTCAGAGTTCAATGACAGCTCAAGGCCAGCCCACACAAGAAGTTAGAGAGACCACATTATCAACAAAAAGCTGGATGTAATGGTGCATGCCTGTGGTTCCAACTATGTGTGTGTGGGGTGGGGTGGAGTGGGAGGGTGCTGTAAGTAGGTGTATCAGGGTCTGATGTTAGCCCTGGCAAAAATGCAAGACTCTGTGTAGCAAGCATGAGGCTCTGAGGTTCAAAACCCAGTACTGCTCTAAAATTTTAAAAATAGAATGGCATAAAATCGATGAATTATTTATGGTCTTGATATTTATTCTGGTAATGTCATATGGCTTTTGATTAAATAGTGGTTTAACTTTAATACCTTAAAAGTAGATAATTAAGGATGGGAGGTGTGGCTCAAGAGGTAGAGCATCTGCTTTGCAAGTGTGTGGAAGCCCTAAGCTCAAACCCCCAGTACCACCAAAAAAAAAAAGAAAAAAAAGAAAATTAAAAAACCCAATAGATACTGAAAGTTACATGAACCAGGTAATTCCTTTAGGAGTCTCCTTCTTTGTATAATGGAAATAACAGGATCTTTTTCTAAGTTTTAAGAAGCCACAATATAGTGTTCAAAAATGTAGCCGAAATCGAGGATGTGGGCTGGGGTTATAGCTTGGCAATAGAGTGCTTGCCTAGCATATATGAGTTCCTGGATTGAACCAAAAAAACCCAAAGAATCAAATCACCCCCCAAAAATGAAAATGCCACACACACACATACAAAACAAGTCAAAAGACTAGGGGTGATAAATCTTGGGCTGTATGCTTTATAAATAGATACACAGTATAACTGTGAAGTAGAAAGCCTAACCCTAAGAAAAACCACCAGGAGGGTACTAGTGGGAGGGGGGGAGGGTGAATGAAGGAGATTAAGGTGAGGGTATATGGTTGATGGACATCATATACTTATATGCAATAGAACAAAGAAACCTTTCGCAATTGCTTTAAGTGGGGTAGGGAGGAGGCAGAGGGGGAGAGAGAATGGGGGTGATCTAACCAATGTTTAATATAAGCTTAATTGGAATTGTCACTTAATTGGAATTGTATAATGAATATATCCTAATAAAAATTTTTATTTAAAAAAAAAAAAAGAAAAATCACCAGAAAAATTCATAAAGGAATACTTACCAATGAAGGGAAACTGTAATCAATTCCTTTTGCAGCTATCTTCTTCCTAAGTAACCTTTCCTTTCGTTTAAATCGCGCTTCCATCCTCACTTTCTGTACAAAATCCCGATTCTGATTATAGCGTTTCACCGCTGGATATGAGGGTTTATGAAATGGAACATGCCACTCTCTAAAAAGTTCTTCATGTACTTTTTCTGGTGGCATAAAACGACCTATTTTTTAAAAAGTAAAGTTTTCAATCAAGAAGGAGAGGATTTTAACTTCAGAGTTTCCCCAGTCCATTTCTCACATCATGATCAATATCGTGTGGTTAACTGCCTATTAGAACCATAGACAAGCCCATTCTACCCTAGTGGAGTTAGTTAATGCTTCTGAGCAGAAGCCACAAACTTCTGGGCAGAATCCTTTCTGCTGATTTCCACAAGTAGTAACCAGCACTGTGTTAACCTGGCACATGCAGGCAACATCTTTCAGGTCCTTACTCAGCCTGTTTCCTCCTGGCAAGAGCCAGGCTTTTAATGTAAGAATGACCTCATGATTCCCACTTGAAGTTTTCTCACAGCAATGGTTGGCAACTTTGCCAACCCATGAACTTGGACACTTGGGATGGCCATACTCTATCAAAGATGTAGGTAGGCCATAAACATAGCTCTGCCTCCCAAAGGCAGGGAGGTCTGGATAGGAATGCAACAGTCAGTGGCTGATGCCCTCAATTCTAGCTCCTCAGGAGGCAGAAATCAGGAGATTCACGGTTCTAAGCCAGCCCAGGCAAATAGACCCTATCTCAAAAATACCCAACACAAAAAAGGGCTGGTGGAGTAGTTCAACAGGTAGAGTGCTTGCCTTGCAAGTGTGAGGCGCTGAGTTCAAACCCCAGTACCACTAAAAAAATAAAAAATAGTACGTGGCTCTATTTGCTAATTTCTATGGGTAAATTCCTCATTTGGCTGTCCTCCTCATGGCTTGCTTGTGTATGTGAAGAGCTGCAGCCATGTTATCCTATCTGGAACCTTTAGTGGTCTGGCACTGCCCTCAGAATAAAGTCTACTCCCCCAACTTGTAAGACCTTTAAGAATCTGACCTGTAGCCGATTTCTTCTCCTTTATTGCTGCACATTCCCTCATAGTGAAATTCCGTTAGTCACTTCTGGCTTGGCATTTAATGTCCCTCAGCCAGAGACTGAGAAATCTTCACTCATACCTTTCAATGACACTGTCTCACCACCCACCGAGGATGACTTAGCTACTCATCCCATACACACCCCAAGCAAAATGTCCAATTCCATCTCAGTGTAGAAACAGCTCTCATGTTGGAAGATTTTAAAATCCCCCCAGACTAGAATGTAGCTCAAGTGGTAGAGTGCTTGCCTAGGAAGCGTAAGACCCCAAGTTCAGTTCCAGTACCACGGAAAATAAAGTAAAATAAAATAAAAATCCCAATCAGTATCTGTCTAGAAAATATACTTAAATCCTTGCACCATTCCTTAAGAGAATCACTCCAGAGAAGTGCTATGTCCAAGCAGCTATACAACCTGTCTTTCATATCAGCCATCCACCAGCAATAGGCATCCATGTAACCCTATGGGTAAAGTAAGAGTACTTACACACCAAGAGTCTTTCACCAAAAAGGTAGTTGTTCATTGTTTCGGCAACTATCTTGGCAACATCTTCAGACTCAAACTCCAGAAAGGCATAGCCTCTGCTATTTCCAGTCTGCAATGGAAAATCCACCACAAAACAGAGACCAATTAAGTTCTACCAAGTCACCAAACTCCTAACATGCTGTTAATTAAAATAGCATTAGCCCCTTATCAAGTAATTTTACGATGTCTCGAATTTCAACTTCAACTCACAGATTTCAGAGACTATTATGGGAAAAAAAAGAAAACATCTAAGTATTTCTGGTATTTGGTTATGCATAATAAGTACATAATTAATATGGCTGGAAATTATTCAATAAGCAACATTACATTCCATAAAGGCAATCTGATAGGCCCCCGGTCCTTGACTCCTTGTTACTCATTTCATTGGCAGTGCTATTAGTCACAAATTCATAATACACAGTGTATATAGTATGATGTTTCACAAAAAGTGTAGGTAGGCCAGGTGTGGTGATGCATACTTGTAATCACAGCTACTTGGGAGGCTGAGGCAGGAAGACTGTTTGATCCTTTTGAGACCAACCTGGGCAACTCAGAGAGATCTTGCCTCAAAATATTTTTTGGGGGGAGTGGGACTGGGGTTTGAACTCAGGATTTCATACTTGTAAAACAGGTATTCTACCAGTCCTCAAAATAAAATTTAAGAGATGGTGGTGTGGCTGAGTGTTACAGTGCTTCCTAAGCATGCACAAGGCCCTGGGTTCAAAATCCCCAGTACCAAAGGTGGAAAAAAAATGGAGGTAGCACAATCCCCATTTTGTATGTAAGGAGTGAGAAGAGCAGGCCAAGGTGGCTGAAGCCTGCAATACTTAGAAGTGGAGATAGGGAGGACTGTGGTTCAAGGACAGCCTGGGCAAAAAGTTCGAAAGCCCTCATCTCAACCAGTGGCTGGCAGGATAGTGCACACCTGTCATCCCAGCTATGTGAGGAAGCACAAATAGGTAAGAGGAGCTCGGTCCAGGCCAGCCTCTCAAAAATAACACAGAAAAGGGCGGGTGGAGTGGCTCAAGTACCCTGAGTTTAGCCCTCCCATATTCCCTCCTCTCCCCTCCCCCCAAAAGAGTCAAAAGAAACTAACTCCTCTGTCACTAAGCTAACCAAAGAGCACTGTGTTCATATTCATGTTTAACAGTGGCTGGCCACGTTCATAGTCAGGGCGAAGTAACAGCATCAACACTCTCTGAAACACACACCTTGAGTTCCTAACCTCCGTAACATCTTATAAGTGAACTTTCTCACTGATCTTAGTGATATGTGTATAGGTTATAAAGTTCAAATCCCTAGGTTTGGCTCCTGGTTCTGACACTTACTTGGGTAAGTAACATTTAAGCCTCAGTTTTTCATCTCATAAAATAAGGATGATAAAATAACCACTCTCACCAAGTTGCTATGAAAATATGAATAATTAATTGAGCTCAAAAAGACGCCAAACACCCAATATCACCAATACTTTACAGTTTTGTATTAAATATATTTTTGGATATGTATAAAAATTGATGACATTCTGGAGGTAAGAAACTACTCCAAAGACATGGTCTAAACCAGGTATGGTGGCATGCACCTGCAATCCCAGCACTTGGGAAACAGAGGTGGGAAGACTGCGTTTGAGTCATTCTGGGATATGTAGCAAGTTCTAGGCCAACCTGGCTACACAAATCAAAAGATATGTCCAAAAAATTGAAAGATATGTACTTAAGAGAGGAGTCAGCGGGTAGAGTAGCTCATGTGATCCCAGTTACTGGGAAGGTGGAGACTGGGAGGATAGAGGTTTGAGTCCAGTCAGGGCAAAAAGTTAGTGAAAACCCCACCTCAATCAATAAGGTGCAACAACTGTGATCCCAACTCCATGGGAGGCCACAGGTAGGACTGCAGTCCGAGACTGGCCCTTGGCAAAAATGCAAGACTCTACCTGAAAAACAACCAAAGTAAAAAAGGGCTGGGGGCATGGCTTCATTAGTAGAGTGTCAGCCTGAGGCCCTGAGTTCAAACCCAATGCCAAAAGAGAGTTGGGGAGGCAGAGGGAGGATGAGTAGGAATCAAGATGCTCACTTCTAGTACTAACAAACACTTCCACAGCTTCTTGAGTCTTAGATTTGAAACAGGAGGATTTCGGTAGAATTAAGATGCCTGAAAATCCATTCACAGTCCCAATTTTCAGACGGGAGGGGAAGATGATGGAATGGAAGAGGCACTATGCAATGCAACTCAAAGTATCACCACTGTAAACTGACATAAACCTTTTCAAAAGTGACTTGAAACATGCTGGGCCAAAAAGAGAAACAAAAAACCTCAATAAACTTTTATCCTATTATCATAGAATATTGGAAAGACCTAGCAAATATAGTCATAATTGGAATATGGAAGGCTTTACTATGTAACAGTGGAAATGCTAAATTTTAGTGCAACTCTTCAGTCAATAGACCTTCTACAAATTTATTTAAGCTCTTCATAAAAGTCAATGTCAAGAAAAACAAACCAGGTGTGGTGGCACATGCTTATAATCCTAGGACTTGGGAGGCTGAGAAAGAAAGATTTTGAGTTCCAGGCTAGTCTGGGCTACATGGAAAGGCCTTATCTCAAACAAACAAAACAGCAGAAAGGGAAAGGAGACTGTTGTACACAGGCTGAGAAGAACATGCATGGATTTAACTGGATCACAGAGCAGAGAGGGAAAATAATAGCTAAAGAGCCGGTTGTGTCGGCACACGCAGGTAATTAGCGAGGCAAAGAGGATGAGTTCTAGGCTAGCCTGGGGGGAAAAATAATAGCTAAAGAGTCTAGAGACCCCTGAGGACATATGAAGATTATATATTATATACTATTATATTGTAGTTATATAGGAGAATATCCTTATTCTCAGAAGTTAGGACAAAATGGTTTTTTCCTCCTTTAATTTTATCATTTTTACATTTACTTACATGTGTATAAACCCCTCCCCTCTCCAGGCAGAACCTGTTCTGCCTTCTTCTCCGATTTTTGTTGAAGACAAAATGTAAGAGATAATAAGAAAGACATATAGGACAAAATGTTTAATATTAAATTATTATGGCTGCTTATTTAAAATGGTTCTGTTGGTTTACAGATAGGTCTCACACCTAGGGAGTCCAGCTCAAGTCCCTATCCTTTACCACCAAGCCTTTGTTACAGGAATGTCTCTTCTAGAGGCTAAGATAGACAGACTTGCTCTTCAAACTGAAGTTCATTAACCCTGGACTCAGTAGCCACAGAATAAACATAGCTCATTTACTAGGAGTCTCAATTTAAACTGAGGATTTGAGGCAATTACTTCAGCAAACCAAACATTTAGAATAATGATGCTGATTCTGCTCTTGAAGCTGTTAGAAATTCTAACTTCACCCCCTTTCTTTCCAGAGTGAATGCTGATAAGCAAAAACAGGTGAACATACTCTGTAAGTTGTAAAGGTCATATACGTTTGTAAGCAAAACAATTAGATTTGGCTCACAAAAATCTTACCCTTTTACTTCTGGACAGTCTGAATCTTGTGATAGCGCCAAACTGGGAGAAATACGCCCGGATCTGGTTTTCCTGAAGCGCTGGAGGTAGGTGGCCCACAAAGATTACTCCAGGAGTAAGTTTTTCTTGCTTTTTGTGCTGATGACAGAAAGACCAGATAAGCCTTCAGTCAGTGAATACGGAAATAAACATCCAACTAAGTCACTGCACTTTACTTTTTTCAGTACTGGGGCTTGAACTCAGTGCCTACACCTTGAGCTAATCCACCAAACCTTTTTTATGATGGGTTTTTTCGAGATAGGGTCTCATAAACTATTTGCCCCAGCTGGCTTCGAGCAGCAATCCTCCTGATCTCTGCCTCGGAGTAGCTAGGATTACAGGCATGAGCCACTAGCGCCCAGTCACTGTCACTTTAAATCTTCCAGGAGAACTCCACACACTCCTCTTCAATTTTCAAGGGAAATCACTGTCTGTCTGCATCTACCAACACTTTTCAGAAAGATTCTTAATCTTCACAATATAGACTAACCCCTTCACGTTTGTCATCATACCCTTATCTTCTATAACAAGTTATCACTGTGCATTCAATACTAAAGCCCAAAGAGAATATAAACTTGACGTGAGAGGTCCTTGTCAGCAAATGGAACTTGGCAAATACCGTCTTTTTTGTTGAGACAGCCAGCGTCTCGCCAGGTGGCCCAGGCTGGCCTCCACCCCGCGAGCTCTAGATTGCAGGCGTGGCCCCCTCGCAGGGCTCAGTTATGTCCAAAACTACCGAGCCCGCCAACCTCGCAAATGTAGGATTAGGCCTCAAGCTCTCACTTTGTAGGGCGAACGGAAGTGTGAAAGCCCCAAAATTGGGGGCGGCTTTGCGGCTGGCAGCGCCATGCTCCCCAAGTGGCTCTCTTTCCCTCCTCCGTAATCCCACACCCCCTCTTGGCCTACGCACCAAACTCCAGTTTACCGACGAGCATAAACCGCCTGGTGTGGGAAACCTTAGCCTTCAAACTACCCGACTCGGTCGGGCGCGCACTGTGGGAGGCCATGGGGAGGGTGAGGGGCGCCCGCCCGGGAACCGCGCGATCCGGGAGACCCCGCAGACTCGGACCGCGGCGCATGCTCACCTGGGTTGCGCGCTGGCGAACGTGCGCCACCTCCTTCTGAAACTGGGCGTCTTCCTGCGGGTTCAGGGACAGGCTCTGCATGGCCGGGCCCTCGAAGACCGCCATGCTGAAAACCTGCCAGTTAAGTAACTGCACGCGGCATCCCCGGAAATGCCAGCCCTTCGCTTCCCGGAAACGGAAGTAGAGGTGGGGCAGGCTGGGGCGTGGCTTAAACAAGACGAGCCGCGGAGCGGGGATGGCTAACTCGCGCGCCCCCTGCTGGAAGAGCGCGTCTTCTCGTTCCCACGCCGTGGTCTGTCAAAATGGAATGTGCTAACAGTTAACGTTGAACTCAAGGTCTCGCGTTTGCTAGGCAAGTGCTCTATCACTTGACTCGCGTCCCCGCATCCCCCCTTCTTAGTTGGTTATTTTTGAGTTAGGGTCTCACTTTATGCCCCGCTGGCCTGGATCACGAACCTCCTATTTGTGCTTCCCTGTGTAGCTGGGATGACACACACCTTGGTTAAAATGTGGTCCCTTGAACTTTTTGTCCCTGGTTGGCCTTCAACCGGTAGCCTCCTGATCTCTGCCTCCCAAGTAGGTAGGATTACAAGTGTGAGCACGGCGCAATTATGTTTCTCAAGGGATTTAAAAGTAAAACACAAAACAATACCTGTGCCCTTGACATCTTGCTAACCATCTGTCCATTCGTCTCTTTCCTTTTTTTTCGTTCACTTGTGTGTGAGTGTGTGTGTGTTTGCGATAGAGTCTTGCTATGTAGTCCAGGCTGGCCTGGTACCTGTGGGATCAACTGAGTCTCCTGCTTCATCCAGCCTCCCAGAGTCACTAGAACTACAGAAGGGTGCCACCAGCCTTGGCTTAAAGGCTTTATTTGGGGGGAGGGGGAGAAGAGGGTCAAAATTTGTAATCATATTATCATTAAAGTCAATTAATCTCCCGTTCCTTAGAAATGAACTTTGAATTTCAAATTAAAGGAGTAAAGAAAGAACATGCCAGTTGGGCACTGGTGGTTCACACCTGTAATCCTACTCAAGAGGCAGAGATAAGAAGCATCGCAATTCAAAGCCCATCCAGGTCAATAGTTTGTGAGACCCTCTCTTGAAAATATCCAATACAAAAAAAAAGGGCTGTTGGAGTGGTTCCAGTGGTAGAGTGCCTGTCTGCAAGCGTGAAGCCCTGAGTTCAAATCCCAGTACTGCCAATAAAAAAAGAAAGAAAGAAAGAAAAAGAAAAAAGAAAGAACATGCCTCTCTGGGTACTATTTTGAGTTAAAGGTACTTGAAAAACAGCAGGTGCAAGTTTCACTCTGACTTTCCTTCTGTTTCTTAAAAACAGCCAATAAGGCTGGGGTTCTAACTCGGTACAGTCCTTGCCTAGCATGCACAAGGCCCTGAGTTTAATACCTAGCACTGAAAATAAAAGCAGGAGAGGAAATTCCTCTGTGCAGGATACCTTCCCTATACCAGTCATCAAGGGTGGGGAGGGGAGGCCAAGGGAAATGCTACAAACAAGCCTCCTTAGACTAGCTCTGATCCTCCTACCCACTTCATCCAATTGTAGATCCCAACCCAAGTCCCTCTGACTTCCCACATGTTTACAATTTACTATGCTTTGTCTAAATCAGCATATTTATTTACAACTTTTTCTTTGGGTCTTTGCTTTCTTATGAGGGCTTCTGGCCACATAAAACTTGTATTCAATAAATTTGTTGGTCATTAAGTCAATTTAATTCTCAAGCTCATCTAAAAAAATCCTGAGTAGGTACAGGGAAAACTTTGCTCTCCCTACAAAATGTTTCCAATGTCAAGGTGCTCACAGAAGACTCCAACTACTGTTCGTGTTATGGGGACTTAGGGAACAGCAGCAACTGAAATGCTACCCTTACGCTGTATAGTAATTAAAGAAAACAATTGACTCAGAAAATTAACTTCTAAATAAACTGCATTTATAAAATATGATCTTAAGAATGACAAGTTTTCTGAGTTTCTTTTGAGCAATTATATCAACATTTAAGTGTAGCAGTGAAACCAAATAATAGAAAATTCAATTTACTTTAGAAGACCAAAAAATGTTGGGTTTCTGGATCAACAGAAGAGCCTTGCTAATTATCAATAAAAATACTGTTCTGAGCTGGGCATGGTGGTACACCAATGTAATCCCAGCACATAGAGGCTGAAGCAGGAGGATTAAGAGCTAGAGGCTAGCCTGGGCTACATGGTGAGACACTGTCTCCAAAAACTAAGAGCTGGGCATGTAGCTCAGTGTAGAATGCTCGCCTAGCATGTGTAAGACCCTAAATTTTATCTCCAGCACTGAAAAAAAGCATGATTTCTCCATGTAGAAATCAAACAAGATATAAACAATTTATTATAAAATTAACAATTCAATAATGTACATTTATAAAACACTATTCTGAGTTACAATCTTCTGATGTTTTGATTTCAGCTGTTGTGTAATCACTTACAAAAGCAATTAAAACCAGATGAGAAAAAATTATCTTAGAAGCCCAGAGATTATTGAGGTATTTCTGGATTATTTTAGTGAAATTATTAACAATTTTAAACTTTTATAGTTGCACAATCTACAAATAATATAAAATGGAAGCAAAGAACTTGTAAGATTTATATTAAATTATCCATACTTGGAAAAGATCCTGTGAATTAAACTTTTATCACACTTTCATGTGAGCCATTGTGTAAACCCTTAATTAACAGCTAAAGGAGAAAATCACAGTCATTTGAGTAGAGAAAAAAGATGATCGTGCTATGGTTCTGGATCTTCAGATGCGGGCTCATTACAAAGTGGAACAAAGTAGGAAGGTGACTCACTCCTGGTACCAGGTTGAGAGGACAGAAGATGGCCTCCAGCGCTAATAGCAGACACATTTCTTCTGGCTAGTGGGCAGTGAAGACTCAGTGGAGAGGATTTCTGGAGAGGTTCTGCCTCATTCCTGGACGAGGGAAAGGACAGAGGGAACTGCCTCATGGATCATCTCGGTTACACCTGGTCTCTGACAGGATGATGTAGGACCCAAGCCTGGGAACGTGGCTTCCATTTGGGTGGGGAGGGGAGAAACAAGAAAGAGAAGGTGTTGCATGCTGTCTACCATGGGACACCAGGACACACTCTGCCTTCCTCTTGTGGAGGTCAGAATGGATGTGGCCTGCTGGAGAGATCCTGCCGTTGTCATCCTAACTTTGGATTGGTGGCATCTGATCCACATGGAGCCCTGATACCTAGATCACAGTGCCATCAGAACATGTGTATCTTCTTTCTTCAGGGACTTGATCATCTCAGGGATTCTTTGGGCATCTTCTGGGGCCCCTGACAAAGGTCCCACTTGTCACACCTGGGACATGAAGGTACTTTTTGAAATGTTTACATTCTTCCTCAATACTTTTTTTTTTGTCTGACAAATGCATTTTCTCATAGGTTTTTTTTCAGCCAACACAGTTCTCAACATGCTATCATACACTTTTATTGCATGGGCAATTAGCTGGCTTTGATAATAGGCCATGATTTGCTCCAATTTTCTGGAGGACTCTTGCATCCAGATCTTAACATATATGTTTGATTTTTTGGCAGTACTAGAGTTTGAACTCAGGGCCTTGTGCTTGCTAGGCAGGTGCTCTACCATGTCTCCAGCACTCCCTTTTTTTTGCTTTATTTTTCAGGGAAAGTCTTTTGTTTTTTGCTCTGGGCTGGCCTCAGGCTGCAATCTTCCTGCCTATATGCCTCCCACATAGTTGAAATCACAGGTGTGCACCATCATGCCTGGATTGTTGGTTAATATGGGGACTTGCTAACTTCCCACCCTTCCTGGGCTTGCCTCAAACTGTGATCCTCCTGATCTTCACTTCCCAAGTAGCTGGGATTACAGGTGTGAGCTACCATGCCTGGCTATGGCTGATCTTTTTACCTGTTCATATTCTTTGCTTCATATTCTTCTCAAGGAGAGTTTGCTTTGAACTGGATATTCAATGAAAACATTTTTCTTCTTTCAGTGAGGCTCAGGAGGAGCTGTCACCCCTCTCTTTCTTTTTTGGTGGAAGGGAGAGCTTTCCTGTTACTCAAAGATGCCATGGACCTTGTGCCATGGCATCCAGGCACTTCCTGAGCACCTGTCTCTGGGCTCAATAATTGTAGTGCTGGGATGGAAACAAGGAGGTTGCAAACACAAGTGCTTTCTGTGTCCTGCACAAAGCCCTGGGCCCAGGAGATGCAGGGGCAAAAATCCAGCCGGCCTGGTCTGTGCTTGAGGGACTGTGCTGCACTGAAGATGTGTCTTTCCCTCATTGGATCCCTCAATCCATGGCCTCCACCTGCTCAGAGACTGGGCAGAAACAAATTTTGGGGAACTGACTCATCCACATCACTTTACTAACTGAAGCCACTTTTATTTCTCCTGAAGTTACTAGCTGATCTCTCCCCTCTCACTCTTGCCCCTCCAGCTTATTGTCATGTAGCAAGTTGGATAATTCTCTCCAGTGGCTTATGCCTCTACAATTGCCAGAGGAATATGCTGTTGGGCTTTCCATTTACAGGAGGATGAAAACAAGCATGGGTGGGCATGGTGGTGCATACTGTGGTCCAACATTCAGGAGGAAGAGGCAGGAGGCTCATGAGTTCAAGGCCAGCCTGGACTACATAGCAAGATCCTGTCTAACCACCCATCACTGACCCCCCTCCTCCACTGCTGCCAAATAAAGAATTGGACAGGGCCAAAAGCTAGCTGGGATTAGCCTACATCGGCCAAACCCTAGCTGACCCAGAGTCACTGCTATAGTTTGGATCTGGAATCCTCCCAAAAGTTTATGTTAAATTCGAGGTCTTCAGGCTATGAAACTACTGAGAGGTTGTGGAACCTTTATGAGGTGGGGCCTAGGTCACTGCAGGTGTTCCCTTGATGGGGACACTGGTCCCTTCCCCTTCTCCTTCAAATTCCTGTGTAAGGTGAGTGGCTCATCATGATGTCATGCCACAGGCCCAAAGCGATGGACTAACTAACCATGAACTCGAACCTCCAAAATGGTGAGCCAAAATAACCCTTTTCTCTTCACAAATTGATTCTCTGGCATTATTATAGTGACACAAAGCTGTCTAAAAACAACTTTCGCCAGTAACAGCAATGATCAGCTAGCCCAGTCAGCTGACACCAAGGACA